AGCAGGGAGAGACCATCAAAGCGCTCCGGCTCGTCTTCGTCTCCAGGTGAGAGCAAGGACATCCTGCAGCACAGCACAGCAAACCCCCGGCGCACAGCTCAGCTTCCCAGTGCAACTGCACCAAGGTTACGAGCAGGGCAATTTCTGCTCCTAACCAAAAAAAAAATAATCAGACAGAGCCCCAGACGAGTGTCTCTGCCTGCTTAATCTGCTTGAAACCCTCTGCGTCACATGGACTAATTCAGCTAGGGAGGTAATGTTTACTTTTTCTCCTTTGAAACAAGGATTTGTAGCAACTTTAAAGAGACTGATAAATGCAAGGGAGAGAAGTCACTCGCATTTACTAAAGCTGTGATTATGTGAGCTATATTTAGCAGCAGCAACCAAGGGAAATAATTAAACTTATTCACTCGTGTTCTTCCAGTTCTTTATGTGCTCCATACAAACAAGGTCAGCAGCAGCAAGTCCTGACCTCCACAACGCAGCCCATCAGCAAACTGGGTCACCTCCACCCAGCACAAAAGGGAGAACCCACAGAGCAGGCAGTGGGCAGCACTAAACAAAGGCCATCATGCTATTACCTTGCATTCTCTATCACAGCACTGATCCAGGTCATGCTGTAACTGATTTTTAGCCTTTCAATACCCAGCAGTCACAAGTTAAGCAGAACTTGATGTGCGTTCAGTAGGAATGGATGCTGACATGTTTTAGTCAAGGCAAGCAGAACTGGTGTAAGAGATGATCTCATTTTGTTAGTATATCCTCTGATGGCTTTTATGGCATGAGGAGGTGCAAAGCAGGTAAGATTCTGCACCTCACGTTCTCCTACAAAAGCAATCTGTGAACAAGCTGTGACCCTGAGGCTTTAAAAAAAAAACAACAAAGACTTTTCACTTGTCACCCAATGCTCAGAACTGCCCTTCTTAATCCAAATGAGTCTCAAAAATTGCCCCCCAATTTCCACGTCCACTTCCAGGAATGCTTTGTCACGGAGCTATCAGAAGAGCCTCACAGCCCTGCAGTGCCTGCTTGTCTCAACAAACCCAACAGTACAGCAGAATACCAAACAGAACTGTTCTCTGTTGCTACTTGAGAATAATCCTTTCAGAAAAGACAAAATACACCACAGTTTGCAGAGCTTAGACTCACTCCTGCTACAAGGCTCAGCCCTTGCACTGATTTTCAGAAGTTCTGAGATTCCCAGATCAGTTTGATTACTGACTATTTTCCATATTTGCATCACAGTGCACTTCTATAATCCCCCACTTCCTAAAATACCTTGGCAATATTGCAACCTAAAATGAAAAGCAAACATTGTGTGTTGGATGAAGGCTTTACAACAAATCCTCCCTGCAGCAGGGTGTCACCTTGCCATGAGACAGCATCTGTCAGCGTCTGAAGCTGCACAGTGGGACAGCTTGGCTATGCAAGGAATGCATATGCTGAGCCCAAGTGCTTTTTTTTTGTTAGTTACAGCAACTGTGGCTTTATGAGCACGTGGGCATTCCAGGAAAACAACCCTTTTGCTTACAAGCATGTATTTATTACGTGGTGATCAACAACTTTGAGATCAGCCCTCAGACTGCACTCCCAGTACACAAGACAGAAAGCTGAAGGCTGAAAGCCAAAGTGACCCACAGCAGACAAGCCTAAGGATGGAAGCAGAAATACGAACGCCGCCTTCCCAACTCCCACAAAGCAAAGGACTCCCACCAGCCTCGTTCAGATTGCTCACACACATTCAGTGACAAAAACGTGTGCTCTGTAATCCTTTCTACTCAGTTTAACTCTGCTACTGTTACTGGCATTAGTCCAAAAGAGGAAAAATCACTTATTTTCAGCACTGTATCAATTGGATTTGCTCCAGGCAAGGTTACAGATGACAGCAAATAAAATACCCACTGCCTTCCTACAACTATTTTTTCAGTGTTCTTAACAGTGCAGTTCAGTTTGTGTATCACTACACGGAGCATTTGTCAAAACAAATCACTCAGACCAACACAGCGTGCTCACAGCATCGTGCTTTCTGCAGCACCAACACACACCTTTAAAAATAGTTTCAAAGCTACGCATTTCCATTATTAAAAAGACTAATCCTTATTAAACCAGGCACAATAAACTCCCCAACAACACGTACAGATGCAAAGTAGCATCACCTCCTTATTGGTCCCAACTATTTTTATTAGTGTGGTGATCAACAACGCATCCCTTGTTCAAATACTTGCTCCTCCACTCCTTCCTCAAGAGAAAACCCTGCAGTTCAGCTTCCTGAGCTCCTCCCCAAGCCTCTACCCCTCTTCACTTTAAAATCCTCCTGCTGTGCTGCTCCTACAGTTCCTACAGAGTCAATTGCAAAACTGGGATCGCTTCTGGTGCCAGCTCTCTGCCTTTCAGAAGGTGCTCTGTGCAATATGAATTCCCTTTTACTTGCAGAAAGAGCTAGGGACACTGTTGACACCTGCAAAGCTACTCCTGCTAAGTGCAGGTCAGACTGAACTGTGGTGGGAGATGAGGCACAGCTGTGCAGCAGGCAGACAGGCTCCATTCCTCACAGCCAAACCATCCCCATGTGGCAGTGTTTTAAATTATGACTCAGCTTTCCCCAAAGAAATTCTGTAATGCTTTAGCAACCAAAATGGATTACAGGATAATTTAGCAGATGATAAAAAGACCTGTATCATCTCTGATAGCACGATTCACAAGATCTTTTACAAATTAAAAAGAGCTTTATGAAAACCTCATTTAAGCAAATGACGCCAACAGAACCTTTTTAGGTTTGCTAACCCTAAAAGGTGAAAATTCACTGTGACCCCAGGGACCCGGCCAAGAGAACACTTTATCACACAGTGTAAGCAAACTCTTTTTTCTCATCTATCTCAAAGCATTAATTATTCAAAACTGTATTTTGTTGATTAGATCTTACACATTAAAAGAAAACATATAATTACGTGCTGATTAGTAAACACAGAGGAAAAAAAAGTTGGAGCAACAAACAGTGTAATTGTGGAGAAGCAGGAATGGTTTGAGGGTAACCCCTGCATACAGCAGGAATGTATTTAAGTTTAGGTAAACCTCAATTAACATTTAATCAGCTGCATTCTTGAAACTCTCTATGCTGATACTGTCTCCCAGAGTTTAAAACTAGTATAGAGAATGACAGTCTGGCACCACAGTGTGGCTCAAGTACGGTTATAGCACAGACTTCATATTTGTTTCTTACCTGAAAAACTGCTTTAGGAAGTCAGTGACCCATTAACCATTTATATGAAACACTTCACACAGCAACATGTAACTATTTAAAGATATATGTTTGCATTACACGCCCCATCACCCTTTATTTCCATTTGCCTCTTCAGACCTCAGTAAAAGGTTAACTCTTTTTAATACCTTATGCTGGCTTTTTTCTGTCTGCACGATTTAACCAAGTTACTCACAAAATGACGTAATTAAGCTATGCTAAATCACTTAATGAGGCTTCTCAGCACCACAAGCTAGATCCTATTGCACAAACACAGCAAACATGATACAGCCCAGCATGAGCTGCCTGCTTTTAATTACAGATTCGATGATGCTGTTGGCATGGTTACCGAGCAGTTTATGACATTAAAATAATTCTTACTATTCTGAAAATATGATGATTGTACCAAATGCGTTCAGCTATGCCATGTAGTTAGGGTATATGCACAAGGAACCTGTTTGCTACACAGCTCACAAGTACGTGCCCATAGTCTTGGGACCATTAAGGAATTTTTCCATGGGGTTTTATCTGTGGAGATGCAGCTCAAATTAAGTGCTGGGAAACCTGATGAGAAGCAGAGGAGCTCTCCTCCCTTTCTTTGTAAACTCATGGCTGTTGGTGTCATTGTCTGTAAGTAGTTGTTTCACATTGTTTCAGTATCAAAGTTACTTTTAATGCATCATCAAAACATGTTTCTACGTAGACAACTGCAAGAACTTTCATGTTAAAATCCCATAACTGGTGTAAAAGTACTTACGTTTCATTGGAAACTGCTGGAGGCTCTGTTTCGGGCATCTTCTATTTCAGTAGAAGCTCAAAATGAAGAATTCTGAGATAAGAGGCTCATATTTCAAGCAGTAACGGCTGTGAAAACAGGAAAGAAAAGAAAGCTGTTTTAAATTCACACGGCTATGTTTCCTTTCATGCATGCCAACCATTCCATCACTGCCCCACACCAGGGTCAGATAGGGAAAAGAAACAGCGATAAACCAAGCCTTGCAGCGTCAAAAAAAAGCAGATAACACTTAGGACCTGACTGCACGCTGTACTGAAGCGTCCGACATCCTCATTAATCCTTCATCTACAGCACAGGGAGAAGCGAACCTATGCCTAAAACCTTTGAAAAACCGAATGAAGCCACTGAGATTAAAACAGCTGCGAGCAACGCGATGCTAAACGGGCTCAGCTGCAGCCATCCGGGAGAGCAGGGCTGGAAACCAGCCGCTATCAGCGCTCAGCGCAGCTCGCGGACCGCAGGTGCGGCGGAGCTGCGGGCTGCAGCGGTGCGGCACAGCCCGCACTGGAACGGAGCCCCGCACGGAGAAGCGAAGCGGTCCCTGACGATAAGGCTGCGATGAACCGGTGCGCTCAGTGCCCGCGCAGCCCCGCACGGCGCAGAGCCGCTCCGTGCCCGCAGCGCCGCGCCCCGCTGCCCCCGTGCTGCCGGGAGCCGCCGTAACGCGCACACAGCCGACCCGGTGCGCGGCCCCCGGAGACAAAGAGCTCCGACCCCAACGGCCGCGATAGTTACCTCGGTACGCGGACGCCGCCCGAGCGGCGCGTCGGGACACGGGAAAGCGACGACGCGAACCCCGCGCGCCTCAGCGGGGCGGCGCCCACGGCCCCGCGCGCCGCTCCCGCCCTCAGCCGGTCCGCCCCGGGAGGGCGGCGCACGCGGCGCTGAGGCGGGCCGTGGGGAGGCGCGTCTCGAGCCGTTCCCGCCTCCTCTCGCGAGAGCCGAGCGGCGCCCCGTGCCGGCAACATGGGGCTGCGGTTGCCCCTGTGCGCGGGCGCCCTGCGGGCTCTGGCGCCGGGCAGGACCGCGCTCCGGCCGTGCCGCGACAGCTGGGCGGCCCGCGGGCTGCGGAGCTCCAACCCGTTCACCCGCCGGCAGGAGGAGGAATGGCGGCGGCGGAACCGGACGGCGCTGACTTACATCGCGGCGGCCGCCGTGGGCATGGTGGGGATGTCGTACGCGGCCGTGCCGCTGTACCGCCTTTACTGCCAGGTAGCCCCGCGCGCCCCTGGCATTACCCCGCCATCCCCCGCCCGTCCCCGCGGCGCTCCGGGCGGCGCCGAGCGCGGCCTTTCTGCCTCTGTGTCCGCAGGCGACGGGGCTGGGCGGAACCACGGGCGCGGGGCGCGGCGCGGAGCGGCTGGAGAAAATGCGGCCCGTGCGGCAGCGCCCGCTGAAGGTGACGTTCAACGCGGACGTGCACGCCGGACTGCAGTGGAACTTCCGGCCCCAGCAGAGCGAGATCTACGTGAGTTGCGCCGGGTTTGCCCTGCCTGGGGCCGCCCCGGCTCGGGCTCCCAGCCCTGCAGGACGCGCAGCTGCCGCAGCCGCGGGGTTTGCCTGGCACGGCTCACCGCTCCGTTTGGGCACCGATAGGGATTGCTGCGCGGTGCCCTCATGCAGCCCTGCGCTCACAGCTCCGTGTGCTCACCGTGCGGGTGAGATGCAGAGGGCACACATACACCGACACAGCTTAATTCACAATGGGGCAGGTTGTCCCAAAGCAACACATTGACAAAGTTACAAAAAAAGTTCTCCTGCAGGTCGTACCTGGAGAGACAGCGCTGGCGTTCTATAAAGCAAAAAATCCTACAGACAAACCAATAATTGGGATCTCTACCTACAACGTAGTGCCCTTTGAAGCGGGACAGTACTTCAACAAGATACAAGTGAGTGAGCACGGATATGAATCGTTATTTGTAAATTATTTCTTCTAATTTCAATCCTGGGTATCATTCTAAATATGCCAACATGTTAAGAAAATACCTTAATTCCTCATTTTTAGCCTTACCCTCTTCATAAAAAGCATTAAAGAGGTTCCCAGTTCCCTGGCATTTGGTACAACTGTTGTCCTCTCGCTCATACAGTTGTTCCTTCCCCAGGCTACAGGGATGTACAGGGAATGAGAGTTAAAAGATGAAATGTTCCCATACTTTTGCAGAGAAAGTTCACAGTTTTTGTCTCATTTTTTTTTCCTTCCCCCTGTAGTGTTTTTGTTTTGAAGAACAGTGGCTGAATCCTCAAGAGGAAGTGGATATGCCTGTCTTCTTCTACATCGACCCAGAGTTTGCAGAGGACCCCAAAATGGATAAAGTCGATTCGATCACCCTCTCTTACACCTTTTTTGAAGCAAAGGAAGGACAGCACTTACCGCTCCCTGGCTATCAGTAACGGGCAATCCCTACCCCTGCCTTCAGCTCCCTGACTGCTATGACATCATTTTTCTACAAAAAGAAAAGCTGAAGGAGCACTGTGAGACATGACAGAATTATTAAACTACTGTGGGTGCATGCTGGTGTTACGGAAGCATGCGTTTCTTATTTAACCTTGTACAGTTGGAATGTTACCTCTTAGGAGTAGTACTTCATCAGAAGACAGAAGTGATCTCTTTGTGGAGTAGAAAGTTGTCTCAAAGCCATCCTTGTATCAGATGATACATGCTTAATAAATTCCATGAGGCAAATTTTTAAATCTAGGTGTAAATTGAGATATTTAAATTTAGAGGAACAAATCAGTTTATTAAATACCTAACACTGCATTGCTGGCTCTGAAAAATAATTAACTTACCTTTATTCAGTGAAAGGTTTTTACTTCTCAGTAGCAACCTAATCAGTTCACGGACTCTCAAAACTTGACTGTATTGCTTCATAGCCTTCCCACAGCACAGGAAGATGGGATGATTTGAAGATGATGCTCCTTCTTGAATTATTACTGAATCAGTAGTTCATCTGGTAAGAGCAGACTGCTCTAGAATTGTTGTTTGAGTGAGGAACAATAATTTATGGACTGCTTGGAGAAGCATTTGACTTGGAAGGGAAGTAATCTTATTCTTGTGTTTATAAATTTTCTGCATAGCTTCCATGTAGGAAACTCATTTAAAATATCAGCACTGTTACGGATTCCTCTTTCAGTCCTGTGAGGGCTGTACACTGGGCACCTCTATACAGAGAGAAGCTAGACTTGGGTCAGAAAAGTGCTGAAGGGAAAGACAGTACATAGCAACTGCTCTGCATCACAGGCTGAAGTACCACAGAGGCATCTCAAAAACAAAAAGGATGTTGACAAGTCTGCCCAGAAACACACCAGCTGATCAGAGTACATCTGAGTACTCACTGTTTACCACCAGAACACGTAACCCTGTATTTATGTGACTTTTTGTCATTATCTGGGGGGGAAGGGATAATAACACTTTATCATAACCCTGCAAATAAGGACTGAGTTGCAGAGCAAGTTTAAGTGATGTAGGCATTTTCAGACAGAGATTAATCTCAGTTGAGTATCTCATCTACTAGGCCAGTTCTTTCTACCCCTTCAGTGGATGATATCTCAGAAGATAAGACTGATGTTGTTTCTGAAGACTCTAAAAAGGTACTGAGTATATTGTAAGTTGCCTTAGTCTCACTTGTGTTTGCATACAACAATAAGAATGGTGCCCTCTGAAAATATGCAGGTGCTACCTTCAAAATGCATTTTTGTACTGAATACCTCGTGTGTTTAAAAGGATTCTGGATGATGTGTCATGCTTTCACTGTGTATTTATTAAAGTTTAAAACTGCCATTAGTGCTGTGGTATCTCTAATACGCTTTATCCAGCAGAATGTGGATCCCACACAAGTGGAATGTATCTGCATGAAAAGACCAGCAAGCTTTATAATAAATCTGTAATTCCAGTTGTGCTTCAGAAAAAAAAAAAAAAAGTTATCAAGACAAATCTTAGAATCCAGGCTAGGGAAAAATAACAGTAAAATCTTACCTTGGTTTTCTTTACTTCTATATCATTTAGAAAAATGAGCTGATCCTGGAAGTCCTCTCTACACCTTCCTTTGTTCTGGCCATGTGTTTTAGAAGAAAATATCCTCTTGACAAATGCTGCTTCCATAAAGGCTGCCTTCCCCTGAGTTTGAAAGCCCAAGTCTGCACAGATACTGAGCACATCCCAACGATGAAACAAGCTCTGTAACCTCAGTGATTAGCCAGTTCCCTTCACAGTTTCTACCCATCTGTAGTCATTTTCCTTCCTTAAATATTGACAAGTTCAATTAGCAATGGGTTACCCTTGAAATAGGCTATTTAAAACTTAGATTTGGCATGCTAGGGTCTGCATATAACTAGGCTGTAGGAAAAGTCATCCATCTCAAATCTTATTTTCAACTGTCTTAAGCTGCTTTCCACATCACTCTAAAAATGCAAGAAAAATAACAGCAGAGGCTTACCTTTTCACCTTTGCTTACAAGCCCCCCCACCTTCCAACAGATTCTACTGGTTCTACACCCAGCTGCAACCTTGAGAACCAGACACTTGAAACACCACGGATCCACTCAGCTTCTTCCAATACTGTCTGCATTTAGAACATGCGCGTCAGCTACAGAAACTCAGAAGTAATGGGGCTTAACTATTCAGTAAGAATTCGTTTTTATTTGGAATTCTATGCTACAAAAATTCCTTAAGGCTTAAGTGTTCGTGTCACTTAAACAAATAACCATGAGCACTTAAAATGCAGTACTTAAAGATGAAGTTAGCTTATCAGCTATAAACATAAACCACGTTCTCAAATTTTTTTTATCAATTACAAATTCAGAGAACTAGATCTGTAAAGTGCAGATTTTACATTCAGCATTAAAATAGACAAGGCACTTAAACTATTAAGAGATAAAAGCAGCTTTAAATTACTTGATTAAAATAAATGGATAACTAGTGCTCATTTGCATTGTAGATGGATATTTTTCCTTCACCAGAATAAGAAGCTGCAGAGCAGGAACATTGGAAACAACAGTGATCCCTTCCACTGTTTACTAATAACCACAACATGGCAACACACAGCTTTTTTCTGCTCTGTTAATCACAGATGACAGCACTGGATGTCCCAGCTCAGCTTCTTACCAAGACAAAAATCCTATTAATTGGTGGGGTTTTGCAAAGAAAACAAAATCCATATTCAGAATATAAATGTAAGAAAGTGATGACTGTGTATCTTTCATATCTATCAGGAGGCTCAATTTTAGATAAGTCATACATTTCAAGAAATATATATATTTATAGGGAGAGAATTTCACAGACATCAACATGGCCAAAACAGAAATAGGATTATGTAGTATGAAAGAACAGATTAAGGTGGAAGAAAAGCTTTCTTCTATAGCTGTGAGAGTGCTTTTAATTTACTTGGTTTTGATGTCATGTGCTACCTCATACACAGGTGACTTCGAAAATTATATTCTGAAGGCCACAATACTTAAAAAAAATAGCAATCATGTAAGTCACCTGGAACAATACACAGTTGAACATTCAAGACCAATTCTCAAGGTGTGGATCCAAGTACTTGTCCACTTCTCATTGCTCTTTGTTCACATGTTACACGAAGCAGAGCCCAGGAGCAGCACCAGAGTAACTTCTGTGTTCAGATCTCCACCTTCAGCATTCTGAATGCTTTTCAGCTTCTGGCTTCAGCACAGCAGCATCAATTTCTTCATAAATTGCTCTGGCAGAAGAAGAACAGGGCAACTCTTATGTCACAGCTCTGTTTTATTTAGACAAAATGCACCAATTAAGTCCTGGCTGGGAGTTTATGTTGTTTATCTAATATGTACAAGCTGCAGGATGCTCAGCTTTCCACATTAGCAAGGAGCCCATCCTGAGATGTCTGTGATTGTACGCTGACTGAGATCTCTCTGGAAATGGTCGCTTTTGATTAAATAAACATGACTGCAAAATGCAAATGGCCTCCATGCCATGAGATGTGCAATCACTACGCTAGTTCAATAAATAAACGAAACCTTTGTTGAGATCTTTCTACCTCACAGTTTGATGGTTCTTTGAAAGTAAGTTTTGTGCAGATGACTCAAATCTTCTCAATTTACTGTTAAAAGGAGAGTGCTGCCACCTGGTTAGTTTATACTAGTTTTCTGCCTGGTTGGCTGTCTGGAGAGGCCTGGCTTGTACTGGTTGCTTATATTTTAAATTCAGGATTTTCTTGAGATTCAGCAAAACATTAAAATAAGGCTGTTATGAGCAGGAATTACTTCACAGAATCATGGTATGGTTTAATTTAGAAGGGACCTTCAATGATAATCTGATCCAACCCTCTGCCATGGGTAGTGACATCTTTCACTACATCAGCAGCTCAAAGCCCAGTCCAACCTGATTCAAACTCTTCTCATGGTTGAGCAACTTGTTCCAGTGTCTCAGTGTAAGAAATTTCTTCCTTATGTCCAGCCCAAATCTATTCTCATTCTGCTTAAAGCCATTATCCCTCATCCTGTGACAAGACGACCTGGTAAAAACTCATCCACCTTCTTTATGAGATCCTTTATGTACTAGAAGGCCACAATATAGGGTCCCCAAAGCCTCTTCTCCAGGTTAAGCCATCCCAACCCTCAGCCCCTATAGGAGTGGTGTTCCAGCCCTCTCATCGTTTTCATGGCCCTCTACACGTGCAAGTCACTTTGCTCCAGAACTACCTGTGTTGAAACATCAACTGGCTTCCTCCACTACAGCCCAACAGCGTTGTATTCACCTTTTCCTATCACTTAATAGGATTTTATTGGATAGTTTTTGACATAGCACTACTTCACCATTTTTGCAGATGCTGATTACTGGGCACACTACAGGAGCCTATTCCTTAATCAGTTAAGCAAGGAGTAATAAAAAAAAGCAGCTCCAATCCAATTGGTCACTTAGCTCTGCCTAAACAGTATGGTCTGTTTCCTCACTCAGAAGAAAGCCATCTCAGAAGCCCTTTTGCCTTTGGCACCTAAGAGAACTGTAAATTACTTTAAAAGCTACTTACTCTGTAGGAGCCAAAGGATCAAATTCCATTATCTCGTAGTAATGAGGTGTCTGCAACTTGTTCTTCGATGCAGCTGAAGGGTAAATACAGACAGATAAATCCAGATTTAAACATAACTAATAGCACGTTTTATGAATGTTACTTTTTTATTTCTTTCTGAAACAAGCATATTATCTAGTATCCAGTTGCTTTAAATACTAAAATGGGCAGAGAAAACCATGAACTATATGAGTTTTTGTCAGTGTTTGATGCTGCTCTAGTCTTTAACAGGCATTATACAAAGCATTTAAGTGCTAACAAGAAAATAAATCTCCATAAAAGTTAAGTGGTCTGCAGTAATATTACCTGGTGGTGATGGTCCATTTGATGATGTAGTATGTCCAGCCTGTAGATTTACTGGATTCAGAGGCACTGGGCTTAAAAGAGTTGCCAGCTGAAGGAATAAAGCAAAACAATGCACAGATCTGTGAGAAACTGCTGACTTTAGACTCTTGAACTAAAACAGGTAAATTCTAAAGGCAGGCCAACGTTCATAATCCTAATTAATCTCCCTTCCCCACACAATTAAGTTGGCATGGCCACAAAATACAGAGCATTCCCTGATGACTGTGACACAGAACAGGTCCCTGTGTCCCATTTGGACAGCAGTCAGGGTAAATCTTTTTGACACTTGAAGAACAATAATTCTAAAGAGGAGTGCTACTCACATTGCTATACGTATGTCCAGCTGGGGTGCTCACACTATTGTTTTGTGCTTCAGTTGCAAATCTAGGAGAGTAATACATTGAAAGTAACTGAGAAACTAGTACAGCTAAATATTCTGATCACTGCATTATTCTTATCTGCTGTGCTGTCTTTACCTTAAGTCACAACTGAGAGCAGCATGAGCAAGTGCTCCATTTACATAATAGGTGGAAAACTGCAAGGATTCCTTTTTCTATTTTAAACTGTTCTTCTTGGTCTGTACAATTCATCTGTTTCTCCCCTTAACTACAGCACAGGCAAGACTCAAGCAGAAAGTCAACATATATCTCAAGTATCTTGAGATAAGTTCATGGTTATGACTAAAAGGTGCTTCAGGGTTAGTAAATATTCTAAGCATGTTAAGCAATGTCTAGCACATGGAGTTTTCACTTTTCTACTGGACTAATCTGTAGAAGTATTAAATAACTTCTTTTTTCCAGAGCTTTCCATAAAAATTCCTTGTCAGTTACAGCAGACTCATAGTTCTGATTATCTGCTATCATTTCTTGACAGATTACTCACGGGAACTGCTGAACTTTCACAGCAGCTGCTAAATCTAGCTGGGGGTAAATGGATGGATGGAGCCTTTTTGTATCTTCAGGGTGTGCAGATATGGAATCTGAAATTCAAAGTGATATTTAATGATCATTTAAGCGTTATTAAGCAAATGTTCCTTACTTGTACTATGACCAATGAAGTTTTGTTTGGAAGGCATATAAAGAATACAGAACCAATTGCGTTTATTGTGACAAAATTGTAACTGAAGTTAGGAGATTTAGTCACTCCTTGCACTATGACAGAAGTCTGACGTCAGAGAAGGCAAAGTGCCCTTCTCAAAGTGAACTGCTGTTAACATCAAATGCCTCCTTGAAAAAACATAGGAAATCAAGAATAAAAGAATATCTCAATTTCTTTCTTCCAACCTACAGAACGGGCAGCTATCACAGTTTCATAAAGAACGTTCTTTTGCTCACACTGAAATGCAAGACTGAGATCACTGCTCTCCCTCTAAAAATATTAGAAGGAACCTTATGCCATCTTGTATTTATTTTTTTTAACATGCACACTCAAGTTATCATGTTTTATCAACTTATGGATACCTTTCTTTCAAGAAACTACTTGATCCCTCCACTAAGCTCATGTTGGTTTGTTTTAGGAAATCAGACTGCCAGGGAAACATGCATTCATCACTTACTAGGACTTGGAAATTGAGGTGCTGCAGGGTCAGTCCCCAACACTGCAGCCACAGGAGATGGAGAATCTGTAGAGAAGTCAAGGAGATCACTGGAGGGAGCAGATGGCTGTTTCCTGTACAGCTTAACATTCAAAAAGAAAGAAAGCTATTAAGAAGAGATTAGGAAAAAAGGAACATGTAGTTTTACATAAGCTGTCATTTTTACAGAAGGTAAATGTTTGAAATCAGATTTGTCACTAACCAAATGCTCCTATAAGTGTCAGCGATATCAGATTTAATGGAGTGGGTGGGGGCTGTGGAAATGCTAGCTAATGGACCAGAGAAGATTTCCAGATAACACACATTGCAGCAAGCTGACTCAGTTCCAAAGCGTAACTGTGAGTTTGCTCAGACTCTGACCTTGAACACTCATGCATTTCTTACTGGGGCTATTTTGATTTGATAAGTACTTAGGGAATGGGTGTTCTTCCAGTTTCGATTTTGGCAGGAAAAGTTCAAAATCACAACGTTTCCCAGAGCACAGGAGAAAGGTTTGCCTTGTTCCTCTGTGAAAGTGTGAGAATTAAAAATGTAGCCAAAGTTTTTAATCAAAATCACGTACTTGAATCAGATATGGGTTTGGCCACACCAGATTGAGAGAAAAAAAATAAATCCATTTTACCATGGAAATTCCTGGATAAAATACAAATGCACACAGTGCACCATTCACACCATCCTTTAATCCTACAGTGCCTCGATCGAGCAAAATCATCTACCTACATAACCAGACTGCAGCAACAGCAGATTTTCCAAAGGAAACAACATCGTCTTCTACCTTTCTTTAATAACAATCAGCTGTATTTCAGCTTCCACGAAGCAGTCATTTTCCTATTGAGCCCCGGATGACTGTGCAATTATGGCTTATGAGAAGCTGAAACGTGCAGAACTACTTTGCGCAATATAATTAACAACCATAATTATCAATCAATAATGGACAGCCAGATTTGCTACAATCCATTATTCAGAACTCAGAAAAGGCTTTGACTGCAGAAGAAAAAAACCAACCTCAGTAATAGTGAATTCTGATTGTGTAACGCATTTTAGTCTTTAAATGTTTATAGAGAATAAAAGCAACATTACAGTTTCTCATTTCATGTATGGAAAATAATTGTGCTTAGCTATAAAGGTAATAAAATTCAAGTAAATCTTATTTTCTTTGATCAAGCTTCCATCTGACACTGTTTTTTGCTTTAGTTAAATCTGCATGAAATTCTATAATACATTATTAGTTAAATATATAGTTAATATATATTTAATATATATTAATATATATATATATCCAGTAAATATATAGTTAAATCTGCATGAAATTCACAATACATTATTACAAAACATTACAAAACATACAATAAAGAGACAGTTTTCACAAATAAGAGAAAATGGGAAGCTTGCAGTCCTGCAGCTCACAGTTCATCCATCACTACTCACCTCTTCACGTTCACGCTGTATTCTCTGGTTCTCCAAAAATCGAACTCTGTTTCGAGAGAACCTGTTGGAATGGCAAAGCTAAACGTTCGTTCTGACATTTCTGTTGTGCTGCATAACAATCTGGCAGTTATAAGCAAAACAGCCCTCATTATTTCAGGCACTTTAATTGAAGAAAAAAAATAGGTTTTGAAAAGAAATCCCTGCAAAATATGTTTGTGTACTGATAGGCAAAACGGTGCTACAGTGGGACCAGAGGAGTTAGATGAACGTCAGCACCTTAAGGCCAATCTGTTACAGAAGGAAAGGCCTGAACTGGCACGGATATGAGACTGGCACACACTGCACTTGGTGTTCAGGCCCACCATGCTGGTGAGGCCCATAAGGATGACATAAATGCAAAGAGGGGCAGGAGAACAAAACCTTTCCAACAGCAGAACAAGCATTTGTCCAAAATACATTAAGAACAGAGTTGCTAGGGCCACTAGAGGGAGTCATCATTACATACACGAGGGCAGCTTGCTTCACAACGGTGATTGCTCCTGATTTAATTTAGACTCTACATGAATAATCAGAAACAGAGAATGCAGCATGACTTGTCTTCAAACAATGCACACAGCATGGAACAGATGCAGCTGGTTAAAATAAGTTTGTCTTTTACACATCTCATTTTCAGAGGGAGTTCCAAAGAACAAACCTGCAACAAGCATTAATCAAATAAATCTTAATACTTAATCAACTCCCATGTGCAAAGGCACCTGCACTCAGGAAGACTCGTTACAGTAAGCCACAACATCACAGTGCTGAGAGGCACAGCCTTCTGCCCATTTCACAATGGCCTATTAATTGCTCCTTCAATCACCTGCTGAGTCCTCCACAAGGAATTTTTTAAATCATGCCCACAAGCTGCTATTCACAACTCATGAGGCTCGTGGCATTGCCAGCACTCATCAGCCTTAATAAACATATAAGCCCACCTCTGACTGAAGTCGATTTCACAGGATCATTTAGGAGGATATAAACTGCTGAACATGGAAGGCTCGTTCCCATTGAACAAGAATATTCTCCACGAATATATTCACTATGGTATTTTGGAAGAAAATGGTGGAATTCTGAGTTTATGTTTCATTTCATTTTTGCCAGCACCTCATCAAGCTGCTGCTGCCATAACAGGCAAACACACGAGATGTCAACACAAGCACTGCAGCGCTTCCATGTGTGAAGAAACATTTCCTGCTGTAAGGCAGGTAGAACAGCTTGTTTCGATTCAGTTGAGAAAAGCAAGCGACTCTCTTCAGCATGCAATAAAGCAGAACGCTATTCCATGGCCAATTTCTGCAGTTAAGGCTGTCAAAATTGTTCAGAAAGGACAGTGAATATTCCTTCCTGGAACTGTATATATATAAACGTAGTGACCATCACCAGACCCAAAAGATTTGTAGCAGACTGACGGCAAATCCACCGTGCTTGACGAGAAAGGAACACCAAACTCCAAAATGATTTTTGTGTGCCTCCATCTCACTTCCTGCCTATGCTGTCAGCTTGTTTTACCACATTCTGATGGTCTTGTAACTACCATTATCGACTGCTTCTGATGTGCCCAGGGGAAGGCAAACAGATTATCTGCTCCTGTTGTTATCACACCTCTTTCAGGATGTATGGAAAAATCTGCCTCCTTGGAAAGATTCAGCACTAGTCCCACAGACTGACTGTAGCCACCAGGTGTGCTTATCCAGTTCGGACCACTTACCTTTCATGTCCCAGGAGAACATTATTCAGATCTTCATTTACTTGTATTAACTCTATTATCACATCTTCATTCTCCACTGTCACCAACAGCTCCATGATCCGTTCCTGCATCATCCGACACGTCTTGTACAGCTTCTACCCAAAGAAGGGGAAGAAAAAAATCTGAAGTCACAACCGTGTTCTCCTAATTTCAGTTTTGGAGAAGAATGATAAGACAGTGGAGCACAGGAGGCTCGCAGGTCACGTCCCTTCATTTACACAAACCACACACATACCAAGCATTGCAAATAGTGTGATTTTCATGTCTTTGATCTCTGCAAGGCCATGCTGACAACTCCTACCATCAAACCAGCACTCCTACCCCTACCAGCCCCTACCCATGACCTACCTTCGTTTCTGAGGATATAGCTGTCTCTAAAGTCTAAATTACAAATTAGAGAATAATGAAGACCCCTCTGGGTGATGCAGAGTAAATTTGATTTGAGCCTGATTGAAGCTGATTAAACTCAGTAGGATACTTCACATGAATGTAATGAATGTGATCCAGGCTCAACATCTGCTAGAAGGAAAGACAATGGTAGTCTAAAGGATAAAGTGCTCTGTGACATCACCGTGTAGCTCTAAGTCCTCCTCTCAGTGGGGAAGTCTGGATGCTCCTCATCCATGCACTTTCTCACGCATTGGCACAAACCTAGCCTTATCATCTGGTGTGATATTTATGAGATCTTTCTCAGCAGAACATTGCATTATTGCCAGCTAAAATGGTGGTTAGTTTATTTACATTTCTCTCCCCTGCAGGTTTTGCCTGTTCAAAGAAACACATTCTTTAGCATCAGAAGCTTCATCTCAGCCAAGATTCTTTTTCCCACAGTGTATTTTTGCGAATGCTGGCTGGCTCTGCTTAAGGAAAAAAAAAAAAAAGGGAGGGCAAAATACTGTTTGCACACTGCTATTCAGAAAGGGCTCTGGTATTATTTTCAAAGTGTTCTTGTTTTTCTCAAGAAACATAAGCTTTGTGTAATTCTTTAATTTATTATGTAAGAAGAAATGTTCCACCCCTCTGCCAAATCTGCATGCACATTACTTTATTGCTCACTATTGTATCTTCACCCATCCAGGATAGAACACACAAAAATGTATGCAGCTCAATGAATACAATTAAATTTTAAACCTCTTCAGCTCCACATCTTATAACCTTGTCCACACCTCAAAAATGTGTATTTCTTATGAATCCCTTTCACAGGCAATTTTCTTTGTAAAACTGATAAAGCACGAAGCAGTAAATTGTGATGCTCATTTTGAGGAAGAATTTCTACGTTTTACTCTGACTCACCATGAAGTCCAGCATTTTGAACACTGGAATTTACAGCAATGCACTACCAGCTCATATAAAGCCATCGGTGATCCCAATGAACTCGTGCCAATGTTCCCCACCTGGCAATGTGGGCCTTAATTCCTGCACATCCATCAGATATGCCTGTTCACTGCCCAGTACAAACATTTGTGGCTCTTTCAGCTTATAATGGGCTTCTGGTATTCTTCAGAAACTGTTACTGGCAAGCACAATGTTTCATGTGAGATTTGCTATCCTTAGTCTAGAACAGGGTGGGGAAAGGCTGGAAGCAGTCATTCACCAAACTGCAGAACCAAAATACGTTGCACTGATGAAGTTTACCCCCTTAAAGGTTTTTACTCCGAGACCCTGGATAATCAGAAGGGCTGATACTCATCTCTCCCACTCACTCAAAGCCTAAACAAAGAGCTCTTGTAACAAAGGACTTTGTTCTCCAGCAACAAAAGCCTAACACAAGAAATCCAGGTAAAGCCACAAGCAAACATGCATGTTAAACATGGTTAAAGAAACAGGCTGGCCATGCTTGGTGTTCTGTACCACTCAGTGCATGGAGGAAAAGAACAACAATGAAATTAACATAGAAGGAATGAGTTTTTAGTCACTCCCCCACAAATGGGAACTCCACACCCTGTCCTCAAACTTTTGCCAACAATTTTATTACTGGGAGTGTCAATAAGAATCCACTGGTTTGCTGTGGACAACCTAGTGTGTGCGCCTGCATGCAGAAGGGCTGCTCTGTAGGAGCCAGGAAATGAAAGGCGCCCTTCCTGTTTCACAGCTGAAATATCCCTGGTTCACTGGCCCTTCCTCCTTGGACCTGCGGCTCTACAGATCTCTGCCAGAGACAGCAGTGGAGGTGCCAGGAATTTCCTGGGGAGCAGAAACCCAGAGACTGATTCTGTCTCCTATCTGGTTCCCACCCGCCAGCAGTGCTGGTGGCCAATGGTGGTCATTAAAGGTGAGACACAGTGGTGAACTAGTGCTATCTTCCTACATCTCAGCCTTCAGCTGAGAACCAACACATAAAAGGACGCAACTGAACAGTGTAACCCTGAAGGCAAACAAACAGTACCCAGAAAAATTCCCTGCAAAGGAAGAATTCTCCACACCAAAGTCTTGCAAAAATTGTATCAGTTTTTCAGTGCATTTATGTTGACAAATTACCAAAACTGTTTCCTTGTCACAGAATTTTGGAGGTAAGTTTAGAAAAAGAAGGATATGATAAACTTCTTTATTTCTTCCAGAAAACACGAAACATCAAGATGTCCATTTAACATAAAAAACTCTTGAAATGCTCAACAACGTTACATTTTAAATTTCTGAAACAGAAAAAGTATGAGCAAGTAGATCGTATGCATCTTCACTATCAAATCTAAACTTGACTATTGCAAGACACTACTTCAGGCTACACTTCAAGAGCACGTGGCTCCACCTAACGTGCAGCAAGCTTCTGGGCTTTGAGGTCATGTACAGAAACCCAAAGCCTCATTTTCTTCACTGTCCTTCAGTTTGCCTTTAAGGTATTGGCAATAATAAAGAGAGCTCTGAAAACTCCAGGACGGATATGAGATATTGTGTCATCACCTGTTTTCCCAGCAGGCAACTGCGCTCACCTGGAATGTTTCTCAGGGCTGTTTGACAGAACGTGCTTAACAGAGAATGCTCCATTATGAAATTCCTTTGCCCTTGGAAGTCCCTACAGCTTAAATTTACCTTGCAAGCTGCATTGTCCTTTCATGACTATCTAGATGTCAGGGAAGGTAAAGGAGACTAGAGGAACTGAGCAAAATCAGAGGCAGAAACTTGATGTTGGTTTGATTTTGCCATCTAAATTCCGATGTTACAAGAAAGGATACAACAGATCCTAAAATCAGTTTTGTTCAAATTAATAACCCCATCAATGAGTTACCTCATACCTGTAAAAGATTCATATCATCTGGATTTTCAGAGCCAGGAACATTTTCTTTTAATATTGATGACATGACTCTCACATTCATTTTCGCCATATCCAGTTCACTGTACAGTTTCCCAATCTGTTCAGTTCAAAAGGACAGAATATTGTGCAGGTGAACAGAGAGAGCAAAGTAATTCTTACCTCTAATACGTACTTTCTTCCCCATTAGGCATAATATGGGTCTCCACTGACATTCTATGGAAATTAGCTCAGTTTTTATACATCCAATCACACTAAGACCTAAGCCCAAAAATACTAGTGGTTTCCTATACATGTAGTGCCTCTCTAAATACTGAGAAAACTTTTTAGTTAACTGCAGGCCAAGTGGGATCAGAAGCAAACTGTCCCTTCCTTTATGCTTTTAAGTACAATTTCTTCACATGAGTCTTATCCAAAACTAAATTCAGCTTCCTCACTCATCTCTGAAGTATCTTTTATCAACATGCATAACTTGCTCATAAGAGATCAGCAGAAATTCTTAGCTCAAGTGAACTATTCCATTCCCTGGCTGGGTACAGCCTGGCATTTACCCAAGTGATTTCTGCATGCTTTGTTTTGGCAAATCACCATACGAAACATCTTTTAGGTGAACAAATCCAGAACCACGAATAATGAACTATGCTTCTTGAGATGATGGTTCCATCTATGACCTGCAATGCTGAAATTGCATGTTCCTAGCATGTTTCAGGTGGAATGCCCCTCCCCTCCAAACCTGTGGTACTGTACCTGTTCAGGTATCAACAGTAACGTTGGGCCCGTGGGAAGAGGCAACAGAGAACGTTTTGGGGGATTAGCAGAAGATGGTGATGACTTTGCAGAAGACGGGGACTGTTAGAAGACAAAAAGCAGAGCTTGCATTTAACAGAGGAATTGAAACCGACTTCCAGATGAGAGTGCTACCATCATCTGTCAGACCACAGAACCAGGCATTAGCTTTCAAATAACCAATGCTGAGCAAGCTCTATTTGTAAGAATGAGACTAATAGCTAGTTTGTAGCAGGTTGGAATTTGAGAATGTTTTTCAATTAGTTTGCTTAGTAAATTCCACTACAGACAAAGCAGGAATGGCTGAGAACAAGCTGTCTGTCCTTGACCTCTGAAGCCATCTGACAGTGAGTCCTACCTTAAGTGCTACCACAGTTCTACAACCACGGGTGGTTTAGAATGCATTCACACATGGAAAGAGTGACAGGCTGGGGGGTTTCACTTGTGTTACAACTGAACTGACTGCAGCAGAAGGCAACCCTACACAAGACTGCATACATCACATGCTTAATCTCACAGAGACTGAGCTATAGATTGTATCCAGGTCTGCTGCAGCTAAGATTGACAGGTTTGCAACAGAATTTAATGGACTGAAATGTGTGGCGGACAGAACTGTCTCTTATTGCAACTGGTAAGGAAAAAATTGTTGTCTAGCAAAAGCACTCTCCTTCAATTGTTCAAGATACAGCTTGTTCAAACAGCCTTAAATACACGAGTTTTTGCACTCTTTGCTATTCAGTCGTTGAATCAAACTCAGTATAACGATATCCTTCCTGTCTACACTGATTACAGTCATCTAACTCTGTAATTGCAAGGTTGCACCCAAAGGTGAACAGCTTTCACATATCCCAAGTCTTGTGAAAACTTTTCTAACAGAAAAATTCTGGAAATAACTGCTGGAAAGCACGGATAGCACATACTGTATTTTCAGCCAATGTCCCATGCTCAAGCCATATTTATATTTAATGTATCCCAGATGCTACACAATGATATTTAGCATATATATGCCTAAACACAAAGGTAGAAATTAGCTACAGGGTCAAACATTATTGAATGTAAGTTATGCAAACAGCTATGGAGAGATACAGGCAACAGACCTCTCTTGCAGATCTGTACCTCTCTCAGACTAAAATTAAAAACAGACACTGTTCCAGGGAGATGTTATTGCAGCCTTCTAAATAATCTAAAGAAACTATTTACTCTGAGTGTGGTGAGGCATGAACCAGCCTGCCTAGAAAGGCTGTGGATGTCTCCTCCCTGGAAGTGTTCAAAGTCAGTCTGAATGAGATCTTGAGCAATCTGGTGTGGTGGGAGGTGTCCCTACCAATGGCAAGGGGATGGAGCTGATGCTCAAGGTCCCTTTCCAACCCATACCATTCTATAATTCTTTGAATGCTCGAATTCTGAATGGCATGTTTTCAGGCAAATCTTACTCATTTTAGTTAAGGCTTCCAAAAGCTGACAAGTTTCAAGCATTCATCTCTCATTCATTTTGAGGCAAACTGGTTGCTCAGATTTTTCAAATGCTCTGGAAGTCTCAAGAGACAGAAACTTCCTCTTTAAGAACAGATCTACTATTCCGTGGTTTTAAATAAAAGACACTATTATATAGGACAGGTTTCTTTGTTGTTATCTTAGCTGCTGTAATTGAAACTGATTTCTGCTCACATGCTTAAGAAGATTGGTCATACTCTGCCCTGGAGCATTTGGAAAACAAAACAATAACATACACACCTTCTGTGTCTACAGAGCTCATACAATTAACACATCCTGCTTCTGATTTACAGTGGATTAATGAGGCATCCCTGCATATCCCCACCTTAGACCTTCCTTTGCTGGTAGCAGAAGATGGAAACTCCACTCCTTTCTTCAGCAGTTCCAGATAAACTTCTTTTACTTCGGTCACATCCACCATTCCTTGGAACCCTCGGGCCCATACCTGGTTTTGAAATAACAGTAACAGTCACAGAAATGGACAGTCAGTTGGGGCAGACAAACTTTTCTAAAACATACAATCCTAAAGGCATTTTCTCCATGTGAACAGCACGTTTTCTGCCTCCATCTGCTCCAGCTAGCTCCAGTTTAAAACACGAGAAAGACTGCAAAACTCTCAAGTTCCCTCTCACCCTGCTTATCACCACAGAGGGGAGCAAATACACAGACTGGGAGGGGAATATAAAAGGCAGAGGCTGACAGGACTCTTTCTAGTTCTGTCTTCTTGTCTTCCACTCTGCGCTACCCCTGCACGAAGTAGAAGAATAAAGCCCATGAAAAAGGCTTCCATGAGTATGCTGCAGGAGAGAAATGAGATGCATATAAAGCAGAGAGACAAACAGCCAGTGTTTGCTCTGGGCTCACCATGATGAAGGTCAGGATTTTCTCCTGCAATTCAATGGGCAGGTTGTATCTGGGGTTCAGCAGTTTCACCAGCTTGTCCTTGCAGAAGTCCTTCTTCACAACTAATGACTGGAACCTTGGACCACAGTTCTGCATACACATGTCTAGCAGCTGCAACCACAAGAAGCTTCTGTTACGTAGATGTAAGGAAAAGAAAACCTTTACTTCCTTAGTTTATGCCAAGGTGTTGCAGGGAAAGAGCACTAATGGATCTGAACGCATTATTGCCAGTAGTCTCACAGTGCTGTCTGAGGAGGTTACTGCAGGGAAACAAAAGTTCAGCATGTGCACTTCTACTGCTATGCACGTACAAAATGAGATGGGTTACCCAGAATTAAACTATTTTTGACAGCGAAGCCCAGCCAAGCTTGTTTCCTTGTCACAGCAGTTACTGAACACGTCATACCTTAACGGTGTGAAATCTGTCCGTAGCCTGAAAGAAATGACTTGCATAAGACGATTAATTTAATGCCTAGCAAACAGGTCCCCTGGTCTGACAGATTCTGAGAGCTCTGCAGATGAAGAAAACAAGCTTACTAAGTGCCTCTCTTCTAATCTGCCCTCTAATGTGAGAGACTAATGAAAAAATAGAAAAGAACAAATTCAACAGCTCAGAGTACAATTTCTCCACGTGTTTTAAAGGTCACACTGATTTGAAACAGAGCAGGTGAATCGTTCCAGTTGTCAGATTCATCTCCACTACAGCTGTCTACTTTCAAAACTGTCTGGAACGCTCAGAATGGGATCTCTGCAAGCAGCACATCAGCCCTATCAAACACAGCACGTGTCATCGTGACGTTACACCTCTCCTTCATGCACCTGGAGACGGCTGGCTGCAATTCCCTTTTTGCAGAAGAGATATCAACGGCTATCAGTACATCCTAACCACCTGGAATCAGGCCAGTACAGGTTTTGTTAGGGAGCTGGGGCTGATCACAATCAGAACTCATCTTGCCTGGCACAAAACTGGAGATCAACTAAGGTACTATGAAGCTCCACACAGAGAAAGAACACTCACTTGCACTTTTCACTCTTCAACCTTGTCTTTTCTCTCTTGATTTGAGAGCGAGGACAGAAAGGTGAAAGCAAAGGGCAGAATTCACAAAAGTGTGCAGAATTCTGTGGCTTTAGAGTCATAAAACTTCCCCAGAATCACGCATCAGGCAGAACCCAGTCACAAAAGGATACAACAAATTTAAGGCTGCTATTGTAACCATGATCAAAGTATGCAAGTTCACTCTCCTACCCAGAGCAGACTGTATTTGGCTCTGTTGGAGTCATTTTAGAAACTAGTTTTCCAGCCCCAGGACCTGGGGATTTTTCTCCCAGCACTATCAGGAATTTCAGGAGAAGTGGCTAAGACCAGAAGAAAATGCACTGCTGAAATAAAGAGAGCAGAACAAAGAGACACTGGCAAACTGCTGCGCAAAAAACAAAGATAATTACCAAAAATCTTGGCTGGAATCATTATTTTTCATGAGCACATGAAACGTATGCTAATAAGCCAACTCATCTGCCTGTACAGTACTTCAAAGATGGCTGGTGTAAAACATTCCCAACCCAGAACACGAGAAATTTGGTATGCTATTCTCTATCATTAATTTTTTGCATATGGGACTGAGTGTTTACCCTCTGAAAGTACTGAAGGTAATGGACAAGACCCTCCATTAAATTAGGCCAGTTCAGCCCACTTACTTCTCATGAAACCAAGCTGGTGAAAAAAACAAAACATAACAAAACAAGAATTTGACTTTATTTTTAACCAGCCCATTCATGAACAAGGCACTTCTGTACTAATAGCACCTTCACTTACAATGTCAATACGGTTATTTATCACTGTAAGCAGGACTTCACTTTCCTGAGATCCATTGGAGCAAATGGACCCAAGTCAGCCCAGCCAAGTGCTGCAGCATACAGCACAACGGAATCTCAGCATACACATTTTCTAATAACAGAACTGGTAAATTAACGTGAATCAACCCATTAACCCTTCTCTCAATGAGGGGCAGGATTTGAGGACTGTAGGAATGGACAACGCTGCTGTGTTCCAGGCAAGCTGATAGTGGGCAAACATTGAGAAGAGATTTGCACTGAGTAGGAAGGGGGGAGAACTGCACAAGCACAGCCCTGGGGTTCACAGAGCACCAACACAAAGCTGAGGCGACAGAAGGCACCTGAGCAGACACGAAGGCAAGCCTAAGAACTAAAAGGCAGAAATGAACAGGGGAGAAGCTACTGGGGATAACAACAGAAAAGCCAACTACATTCCTTATCAACAGTGACCTCGCTCAGAGTTCTGTAGGACTAACTGCTCATCTCAGGCAGCCACATATGAGGTCCATAAAGCAACAGTGAATGCATTAAGTTTGCAACAGGTACCTTCAAACTTAATGTGAATGCAAGAAAACACAGACAAACAGTCTGCATTCTAATATTTCTAACTGAAAGAGAACAAGTCATCAATCCCTGCCCAGGCTTATAATCTACTAAACTCATACTGCTGTCCTACCAAATACAGTTTCTGAAGGCCAAGACGCTTGAAGAAACTGGCACAGGCTGCTTCTCAGCTGCCATTCACTACTCACAATGTAGCAGCCATACAGACGTTACCAAGATCTTTTATTCCTAAACGCATGCGTGTGTGTTAACACAGGCGCACAGAGGAACACACTTAATAAACTACTTCCCCATATGCTGTTCAGTTCCTAAGGCCTCTCAACATTCAGAACTGGGGCACTGCAGAGACACCGAACAGGTGCCTCAGCATTCACTACGTAAACACATTTTACACAACCAAAGCTTATTAATGAGCCAGATAACACACGCAGACTCTGCTGGATTCCTGCCTGAAAGTTCCAATCCTCGTTCTGTGGTTGTGCAATCAGCACTGCCAAGCCTGATCTCTCGGCTTTATCAGGGAGAGCAAGAAGCAGCTTCAAGGCCTGGCACGCACACACCTTGATCCATATGACTTCACAAGCACCAGGTAACTTCCATAGATCAGAGTACAAGCAGTTAGGCCACAGCCAACACATTACACAGCTGGCACTCACCCTTCCTCCTGCAAGCGAATAAACACATGTTTAAGATAGAGGAGGAAGACAACACTACTGAGATTCAACATGTCTCGATGACAGTACTGGGGCTGCGCCACCATGCAGTGGTGTTACTTCAGACACAGACTTGTACATTTCAGTCTGCCTGCATTCCCTGGGAAGGATCTGCTTTAGAAGTAGTTTTATTAAGAAGATGGTTCCAGAATTTCAAGGTTGAGTAAACAAATGTGGATCAAAGTACATTCCAAAGGAAAAGTGGTTTCAAGACTTTGCTGCCTTCTTAGAATCACAGAATGGCCTGGTTTGAAAAGGATCTGAAAGATCACCTGGTTTCAACTCCCCTGCTATGGGCAGGGTCACCAACCACCAGACCAGGCTGCCCAGAGCCACATCCAGATAGAGCTACGAGAAACACAGGCTGGAGAGAGAATTAGATGTAGAGTCCCAAAAGCAGGAAGACAGCATCTACTGCAAGAAAGGCAGGCAATAAGTATAGCTTGTCAAAAGAAAGAGCTCTTGTTTTTGTTGAAATCTGGGAGAAATCAAGGAATTTTTAAAAGGTAATGGTTGAGGGTGTGGCCTCTGCTGGTTTGTTTATTAGGAAGTGAAAATGGCTTGCTTTCCATTTGCAATGACTTACTGATCCAATCCAAGTATCTCAAAACGAGAAACAGGAACAATGTCATTATTGCAATCAAGAACATAAAATGGAATGGCCCATAGAAGGACCTGCTTGGGATCAAAAGAGTTAAAAGTCATCCATGGTTAGCAGTGAAGTCAAAGGGAAGGTTTCACACACTGAACTGATAGCAGTGAGGGCAGAAAAGGGGAAAAAGGGAGCCTGGAACAGAGGAAGAAGTGAGGACAGAAAGTCTTACATAGGAACAAAGGTAGGAAGAGAACTAAATGTGAGTGGAGAAGGAGACTGGAACTGCAAAGAGGCTGTGAGAAAGCGATGAACAAGAAGTAGCACTGAAACCTGGTATGCATTCCACCTGCAAACAAACAGAATAAGCTTCCAAGTAAACATGATAAAGCTCTTCCTTGGACACAGCTGAAATAAGAGCTCCTTGAGTATGTCTGCAGGGTAAACATCCTGATAAGGACTCAAATGTAAGTACTGGGCCCTGCAAACTCCAGCTGACTGCATTGGAGAGCTGGGGTGCACAAGGACTGCAGAAGAAAGCAAGAAGATCTGATATAGGGATTGCAGTTATAATGGAAACCAAGTGTTTCTGTTATGCAAACACATGGAACACACAAAAAGGTGACTCATGAGACAGTGGAGGAGGAAACTGAGAAAGCAGTGCGGAAGTGGAATGAGCTGAAGGTATACAATGGTATGTTCAGCACATTTATCTGCCTCTCAAACTTGTCAAGTGACACTTAAGCAATTGCTAACCGACCTACAACTCAACACTATCAATCACCTATCTTTCTTAATCACCTCTCATATATTGATATAGATAATGATTTTGCACAACAAATAGCAAACCTGTGATTAACAGTACTCAGAGTGCAATGCAGACAAACCTCTCTACACCCTTAAAAGAGTAAATTGTCAAATGCAGCTCTGCAGCAGCTTATAACACAAACTGCTTCCTCCTGCAGCTGCACTGCTGTCAGCCAAGAGAAACTCAGGTGGGGACCTCTGGATTTATGACAGCATCAGGAACTTCTTGCTACTGTTCGCCTTACCAGAGCACTGGAGAACATCAGCATGTTCCTGTAAATCTTAAACCGACTGAAATCATAACTCTTCCCCAAAATCTGGGAGAGCTCAAAAGCAGTGTCACGTTCTGAAGGCCAGGTAATCTGCAGTGAGGACACTCCCCGTCACCCCAACCTTTAGTCACAACATCTGAATCCTGCAAGGCTTATCCTCTGCCTTTCTGCATCACTTAATTCACCACTGTTAACCCTTCATTCAAATCTTGTTTATTTACAAAACAGGTAACACACATTTTAGAATGCGACCTCAAGCACTCAGTCTAACCAAGGTCACCACGAGGTAACAGAAAGGCCAGACAGCTTTTATGGCATGTCCTCAGCTCTGTGCCTTTCACAGACAGGTGGGGTGCTCACAGAGCCACAGTTGCTGGAGTAAAGAACCAAACTGCTTTTACCAGCTGCAGGCTTAAATAAAATACAAAGCAGCAGTACATTTAGGAAGAACGAACACCAGTGGACCATCAGATCTACACTGGCAGAGCTATCCACACAAGCAACAAAGACAGAAAACGCCCCGGAGAGTCATATCAGTGCCAATTTGCATGTCATCTTATCATTTGAAATGTTTTCTGTCTTAGCGCCCAATTAACATAACCAGAGCTGTACTTACAGACAGGGTGAGCCTGATCTCCTTATGGTTACAGTTTTTTGAAAGCTTCTTCTTCAACGCTTTGACTGCATCCTTAGGCCTGTGACAAGACATCAAATAGAAAAGTACCAGAGAAACTGTTTTTCCAGTTCATAACTACATCCAAAATCCCAAAATACCGGCCTGAGATTGGGGCATCCCTGTATTTACACCCACTTACAAACAGAGTCATTTCCACACAGATTTTGGTAAAATTTCTTCAGCAATGAGCGAGATAAACACAGCAGCCAATCGGGAGCATTGCTGCTGAGATTTGTGCAGAGAAATGAAGTTATTCTTTGCAGGGCCTCCTTCCAAACTGCATTACTTCACTGTCATACTGTGGATTTACTCACCTAGTGTGGACAACATCCGTTGCTATGAAAGGGAATAGGAAATGCCAAATGTACCAAGACTTGACTCGCACCTATTTTTCAAACATGATGTGATCAAAAGATATTCTCCTGGGAGTGCTGCAAGAAGTAGGGGTGTCTTGGCTAACCCCCAATCTTTTAATTGCTGGATGCTTTTAACTAATCTGAGTAATTATCAGGTACAGACAGACAACACATTCCACCCAAGAGAGTGGCACTTCCACTACAGTCTTTCTCATTTCTATATATACACCCCATATCTGCTAACTATCTCTGTAGGAGGAAAAGGGTGGAAGACAGTATCAAAGTTTATCACATGTGGGAAACAATTCTGACTGATTAATATGGGTTATGTATAGTGTACCCAGAAATTACAGCTATTAGGGCCAGCTCAGTGCTCATCATCAACAAAAACAAGATGTCCTCAAGTCTCTTTAGGATCTCTGTGGAATCTAAGATGGAACCATAAACTGAACGTGTCAATTACAGAAATCTTTGCTGAAAACATTACCAAGTTGATTAACTTAAATGGGTATTTACCACTGCCACTTCTTTTTTTTTCTTTTTCCCTCAGTTTGAAAGGTCTGCTGTACCTTATGGAAAAAAAGCAGCAACTTCTGTATTTTTGCTTCGATCCTATGGCCACCCGCAATTAGACCAGCAGAACACAGAGTCAGTGATGGATGGGAGGGGAGAGGAAAACCTCCCCCTGCAAAGCGACGCTGCTACCCCACTGCTGCTTCTGTCTGAAGCATCTGGAAATGCCCTGCTCAGGAGTTGGGTATTACATTAAAATAACAATTTGCCTAATTAGATACAGCAGTTCCTCTGTTCCTAATATCCTGTTACAGACTGGGACTAGCAGCAGTTGCCTAGGAGGAAGCTTTAAGGAGCTGCTCTGTAAGCATAAGCTGTACACAAAAGGAAGTAGTTCATTAAAAAAAGCTCTGTTGCATAGAAACTTCACATAAAACTACCACAGATGGTCAGAACGTGCTGTGGCTCATGGCAGGGACTGGGAAGGAGTTACTGCTGAGCCCCCGAGCTCTCAGTCACAGGTGAGAGATAACATTGGGAAAAGTGAAAGGAGGAAAAACTTGCTATAAAACAAGATACGGATACCTTTTTTTTCTGAAGAAAGCTCTCCAGCAGCGTTATAGCGTGCCACTGCCCACTGCCTGCGAGTGCTAGACACGTGTGTGCCAACAACGCGTGTGCCAGCAGGTCCCACACAGAGCTCACCTCCCCCTGCCCACACCGCTAAACGCTGCTGCTGGGGCCGGGCGGCCTCGGGTTCCATCAGCAGCTGTGCTTTAACACCTGAGCGGCCAGAGGACTTCTCCTAGCCGGGGCTCTGCAGGGCACGGGGCCGTTCTGCCCGACGAGCAGCACGGGCTGCATGAAACGCGGACGGAATCCGCGCTGCCACCTCTCGCCAACAGCTCTGAGCCGCAGCCCCGGCAGACGGGCAAAACAACTCCCGAGGAGCCGGGCTGCCGTTCGGCTGCCCGTACACACGTGTGCACACACACACAACACATACACACACACACGCGTAGCCCCGGCCCCGCTCACCCCTCCTCCGTGGCGTTGATCACGTCGCAGATGTGCATGAATTGCCCCCACTCCTCCGTCTGCAGCGATCCGAACGTCGCCCGGTCTGTAAAGCCAGGGGCACCGCGGTCACCGGCGGCACTCGACCGGCCCGGGATCCCCGCTGCCCCCGCCCCCTACTCACCCACCAGGCTCCCCACGGCGGTGCCGAACGGGTCTTTGGGCGCCTTCCCAAAGGCCATGGCCGCCGCCTCCCCGGGGCAGCCCTCTCCCGAGCGGCCCCGTCCCGCCGGGCGCTCCTTCCCTTCCCGGGCCGGGGCGGAGCCGCCCGCAGGTACGGCAGCGGGGCGGCCGCGATCACGTGCGGGCCGGGACGGGCGGCACCGCCCCGCGGGGCAGAGCCTCAGCGCCGCTCCGGCCCGGGGAGCTGCGTGTCTGGCTGCGGAGCGAGACCCGCCCGCCGCCGCAGGGCTCCTCGGCCACCTCGTACGCGGCACCGAGCGGCGCGGAGCACGGGAAGCCCGGCACGGGGCGAGGAGCCGCGGCTCGGAGCTGCCTGCTGGCGGCCGGCGCTCGGAGGAGTTCGACGGAAGAAACGGCACGAGCTGCCTGGGAGCGCTCGCCCGGATCGGTTCTGCGGAAGAAAGAAGTTTGGGCTGAACGCTGTAAAGCTCGCCTGTAAGAGCCCGCAAAAAACCGAGGTGGAAAAGGAGCTGACGCTGATCCCATTCGCGCAGTCACCCCACAGAGCTGCCTGTGCATCCCACGGCGGGGCTTTCTTTTTGTGGTTACTATCGGTGTGCCGCTCTATCGCAAGTTTGACTTTATCTCAGACCCAGACAATGCCGGGGAACAAAACGTGGCATGAATGAAGATTAAAAGCTCAACTGCAGTTTTTGTTGACTGCGAGTTGTAATTATTGCAGTGTCAAACAAACAGGGAATCGCATTAACCTTCACTTGAGTACAGCTTAATCAGTCACAGTCAAAACACGATATAACCAAATAAGTCATTTGCGTGGCATTAGAATATCATGAATGAACAAAGCTGTCTTTGCACTGACGAGAGCCCTGCCCAGCAGGAACGTACATCCACGGCCCCACCTGCAGGCCGGCACAGCACAGCACGAAGGAGAGGAGCATCTCCCACATCCCTACAGTACAAGGCACCGAGCAGCTCGCCTCTGAGTCCTCGCGTTTACAGCACGTTCACAAACCCAATCTCTTCCTCACACTTTCAATAAGAAATGAGCTTCATCACACAATCTGGTGAGGTTTCAGCTTAAGACTTTTTCTAATGAACTCCTCGATTCTCTATGCTTCTGCTCTTCTTGTCTGGTGTTCTACAGCACACAAAGTAGGAGTCTGCTTGTCCTCCGTTGCAAAATACTGAAAGACAACCTCTAAACTCATTCACTCTTTACTGCCTGAACTCCAATAAGGGCCCATTGAAATGAGCCCTTGTTAAACCTGCAACGTGAATCAGCTCTCGTCTCAGAGAGCATATTTTATTGAGCTGCTCAAGGGGAAAAAATTAATGAAGCCTTTTTTTCATTGGAATTTACTACTTAAAGTTACTCACTGAGATCAGCTGCTGGCACCAACTGAAGAACAGCCCGGGGTTCGGGCACAGCCCTCAGCTCTCAGTATGAGCTGCCCAGCAATCAGAGCCCTGCTGCACTCCCAGCACTCTCACTGCTGTTGCGGCTGCAGGATTACACTTCATGACCATTATTAAGGGACACAGCATTTGGGAGAGTGTTCTAAAAAGAAAGGAGAACAAGCCCAAAACAAAACCAGGAGAGAATCCCGAGCACATACAAGCATATTCAGTCTCACCGAGAAAGTGCTGAAAAATAACTTTCAGCTTCTTTGAAGACCCCATAAGTTCAGGTTCTGCTCTGCCTTAGATGCATAAACATCTCCAGTGTGAAATTAAGAACCACAGTGGGACTCCACTTCTAAATTTTGTGCCATTTTAAAAAAATCTCAACAAATCCCAAGGCAGCACTTTGGGTTTTGGAGGCCTTATTCTGTCAGTTTGGAGGTAGCAGAGCTCTGCAGACTTTGGGAGATGCATGCACAGCTCACAATAAACTCACGGGCAATAACACAAATAATTTCTCTTTGCAAAACACTTTGGAAAAAGAAGGTGTCCAGTGGCACCACCTACACCCACCTCTTGATGCAGCATGTCTTTTGTCAGCCTAAGCAGGCTTCTCAGTGCAATTTTATTTGTACTACAGATACTGTGGATGCTGTGACAAAAAACAAACCCCTAATTGCCAGAGCTACCCAGAGATTTTTCCCCCTCTAGTTTTGCTGGGTTTACAGCTGTAAAGTCAGACTTTATTTAATCTTCAGTCTTATTTTCAAGGATTTGTGTACACATACAACAGAGTAAACATTTCACCTAACAGCCCTCCTACTCATAAATTGATCCATGATATTGACTCGTATCTCTGTGATGTGTTGTATCTACACGCACCACAGTGATGACTTTTGACACGGTTTAAGAACAGAGAGATTTTTAAGAGATCACTATTTCTGCAGCCTTGCAGAGGAATTGCACAGTACCGTCTGCCCCAAGAGCTGTGTTTCCTCCCCAGCCTTCCCCAGGAGCTGTTTGAGGCTGATTCTTCCTTGTTATCCCATACAACAGAGCTGCAATCAGCGGGATTCTCGCTGCAGCTCATTAGACCAGATGCTGGTTGTGGCCTGTGCCGGGAGCTGAACTTGAACAAACAGCCAGAGGGCCGCATCAAATCCCTTCTGCACAATCTCCATTAGCTCACTGCCTTCAGATAACAGCAAACCTAATCAAGAGCCATTTGGGCAAATTAAATTAACGCTTGTCTTATTTGGGACTGAGCCTTACTAAGAATGCAGAGCTGTCCTCAAATATCCGTTGAAGTAATTACTACTTTATTGTAAAAAAAAATAAAAAAAAAATCCAACCCTGGTTGTGCGAGCAGCACCTTTAATTTGCCCGTGTAAGAACAGAGAAAGAACACTGCAGCAAACGAGGGAAGTGTGTGCAGCCTGTAGAGGGCAAGCTTGGCCAGCCAATCTCCCCATGCACACAGTGCAGGTGCCTCAATGAAAAGGCACTTCTGGATGGGCCTTTCTCACACACACTGTGGGCTTCACATGCAGCTTTTTAGCAGTAGGACACCGTCTTGTTAGGAACAAGACTGTCTCTGTACGTGTGATGCAAAGCTTTCTGAAAGCAAACCGGGGAAGGAATGCGGTATTTTTGGGACTCAGGAGTGCCCCACTCAGGTTTCCCCCACAGCTCTGTGCTGTTTCCTGGACACACTGCCATGGCAAAGCTGGGCAAATCTGTGTGGCCCACTCCTGCCCCCAAGCTTCTCTCCAGAAGTGTATTTCCTTGCAACAGATTCTAGATACATAAGGTGAAATCACTATTACATAGCACAGTTTTGCAAGTTTTGACTCAACTTTCCTGTATGAGATTAATTATTAAATATACCTCTGCTGCTGCTTCTCATTTTCTCAGTTCTCGGAGAACAGCGGTATCTAAAACCAGACCCTTTGTAGAAAACTGCATGTAAAGCAAATGATTTTCAAACAGGGTCCTGAATTACTAATTGCAGCATGACTTGATTGCCCACAACAGAAGCACTGCCACCAAAACTCACCTGTAGCCTGTTAGGAACCTCAACCTGCCTGTAGCCCCGTGTCCCCCAGCCCTGGGTTGAGTCCACCAGCCCCAGCTAACGTAATGCCACACTGCTCACAGGGCTATCTCCTGTCCTAATTAACCACGAGTCTCAGCTCAACTCTCTGCTGGATTTTAATTACTGAGTTATTAATTCATGGGGAAAAAATTGACAGATGTTTCAGGTTGGTCGTAGCAAATTAAAAGGCAGGTGCCTGGCACCAAGAGTCAGAAATGATTAAACAAATGACTCATGGATGTTCAGCTGTTTCACAGCAAACAGTGTGCAAGGCACTGCTTGGCATTCTGCAGGGCAGGGTGACTTCTCAGGTTAAAAATAACTGCAACAGATTTCACTATCTCACTTTTAAATGTAAGGAGGCTTTTAAATGTGCGTTCTTAATTTGCTTTGCAGTTTTTTTCTTGGTTTGTTTCACTCTCCTTTAAAAAGGAAATTCTGCTTTTTCCTCAGATTCTTAGTTTAGAAAAAAGTTGGGGTGATGCCATTTGAAGAGAAGGAACTATCTGGTTCCTCTTCAGTTATCACAAAGCAACATGCCACACGTTACTCTATATACAACATGTATACATAACACAAGGTTGAGGACTATTTTCCATTTCTTACAGGGGACAGCAACAGTTGTAATTCTGCTGCTAACTTCAAGGGCTTGACAAAGCTCATGGAAGCATTAGTGCAGATCAAACACATTACAGGAAACGCAGCCTGAAAGGCTACCGAGGTCGGTGCTGTTAAAGGAAAGCAGGAAGCAGCAGCGCCACGGGCTGCAGCTCTCCATCACTCGTGCTGCTCCGCAGAGCCGTTCCGTCAGGTCTCAGCAGGTCCCATTTGTCATGATGGCACACGCAGCCTCAGCCAAACTGAGCAGAAACCACCTTTCAGAAGATGGCTGGTTATTAAAACCCATCGCGTGGCCACAAGTTCTCTGCATCTCTTTGGGTGTTTCTGCTGGGAAGGTGAAGGAGGTGTTCCAGGCTGAGTTTGGTGACAGTGTTGCTTGTTTGACTGAACACCTATACACAATTTATGGTACAACCCTCTCCTGAATGAGGCATGTTGTATTTTCCACACGTTAGAATCATAAAAAAGATAAGTGTTTTGCTAATATTTTAATTTCTGTACAGGTTGTTGTTTTTTTCCCCCCACCCTTGTATTAAAGTACAGCTCAAACTATACCTCTGGTTCAAGTCAATCAAAAAATTACTCAAAGACAAAAAAAAAAAAAAATCACTAAATTTGATTTGGACAATGCAGAATCAGATATTTTGACAACTTCAGAACTAGAATTGAATGGTAATAGATTTGTAGGAACAGTCTGCATTTGTCAAAGTCAGCATTCTCTTATCAGACAGCAGAAAAATTCCCCACAGCTGTAGGCTATGCTGTGTAGCAGCTGTCCTGGAGCT